TGCCTGAAATTAATTAAATCAGTAGGTCTTCAAGGCTCTTTCACTACTTCATCATCCAGTTTCTCATGCACATACTGAGAGAATGGAAAAACCACAAAATGCTGATGAAAGACTTTACTACCTAATGACCATTTTTCTGCGATTAAAAAAGTCAGTAATAGATGACACTATTTTAAAAGGTGCCACCAGCAGCTGACAGAGAGACTAATACATATATAGCACAAATTAATTTATCATAACATGATAAATATATAAGAAACTGCAAAATATATCTTTTAAGTGTGATGTTCAGACTGGTGCTGTTTAGAAGAACAGTATAATAACACAGTCCATTTCCAGCAGCAAAGGAGGAGGTGTGGATCTGAACTTCTGTCTCTCATAACATGACAAATCTTGGCTTTAGGAAGGCATATTGGCCAGCAAATACACACACAACTCTACCGCAGATACTATTTAAAGAGCTATGTTCTATCTTCTTTTAAAGAGGCAGTGACCTAAATGGACATCCTGTGGACATAACAAACATTTTTAAGGTCTACAGAGCCACACTATAGAGCCAGAGATGCCCTACAGTTTCCGTGTGTCCTTCTCTATTGATTTGGGTATAACATTTGATTCAGCTCCATGTACTGAGAGACACCGTGTCAGAACTGCTCCTTTAGGAGATGGGCAGATGTGTTTCTCTGGAAGCACTTTCTACATTTTCTCTTGGTGATAGGCCATATTTTACCAGCCATGGCAGCAAGGTCACAGACACCAGTCTGTCCACTCCCACCTGGCTGACAGGTAGCTCCTGCTAGTGCCCACCTCGACTACAGGGAGGGACACTTTATGGCACCCCAAGTGCTCCCTATTGAAACCTGTTTCATGGTCAGTCTTGAGTAAAAAATGACAGAAAATAAATTACCTTAAAACAAGAAAGAGTCCTAAGTGTAATGAAAAAAGGCATCACAAACATCTGTGTATAATACTTTGAATAATTGTATGATTAACTTATTTTTTGGTGTATTTAACTGCTGTAGAGGATAAATAATTATCTAATAGTAGTCTTTAAAACATCTCTGCACTGGATACAATCCCCATCCATTAGTCAGCTGAGATGGATGAAAGAAATATTAAAACTCTTTTGTGAAATAGAAACATGTTATTAATCGAAGGTATTATGTTGACACTGAAATCACAACCCATAGCCAAAGGCCTGATCCTGCCAACAGATTTGTATGGGTGGAACTTCTGGTCATTCCAATTAGTAAAAATATCTTAATTGTAGTTTAAGTAAATATTTGGGAAAATGTAGGAAATACAGAGTTGGCTTCAAATTAGCAGCAAAATTACCACTGTTATCTGTAAAGCCAGGTTTTAATCCACCATCTAGAAGTGGATTTGAATGTACTAACAGCTCCATAAATGTCAATTTCCTTATGAAGTGGAAAGAAAGAGTTTGAACTTTCTCTGCTAAGTTTGCCTGTGCACAGAGGTCTTTTATAATATAAATTTAAATACACAATCTGTTTTATAATGTTTTCCATCAACTCTCTTCTCCATATGTTCTCCCACTAGGAATCTAATGAGTTCTACATATGAGGGATGACAAGGGAATATGCCTGAGAAATAATTCCAGCAATTATGGCATATGGAGGCATTGTTTTTGAGTCACTTTTGCCATGAATATTCCGCAGAACATCTGGGACCAAATTATGTCTACCTGCCCATGGACATTAGCAAAATCATCATCTTCCATTTGTAAATTCTGCTGAGGTAATCTGACATACAGAGAGGACCATTTCATCAGCTTTATTATCAGGGTGCATATTGAAAAGCAGGCCATTTTTAGTTAGAAAAAAATGCTTCTCTTTAGAAAGAGTAGTTCAAACTGGAAGCTAAGATAAAATTATAGAAACACATCATCTCTCTCTCTTCTCTCCTGTCTTCGGTTCCAGGCCACTATTTATTAAAAAAGCTTTTCTCATCATTACCAGAGTTTTGAAAGAACTGACTGGATTTCAGGACATGAGAAAATGACCAACGAAAAATAAAAGTAACACAACTATGCACAAACCCTAAATCAGTAATAGTAGGGATTGTATTCTCTGTGCCCAAATATGAAAAGGCATCAATAAGTAATCATAAGGAAGAAAGAGACTTTAAAAAACCTACTTTATATGGAGAAATAGTGACTAAAGTAGTGTGCATTTTCCAAGTTCTGATTTAAATGCTAAGACATAAGGCTGCAGTACAGTTTTCAAGCACCATTTCTGTGATGTTTGTTATGGCAGTGAGAAGAAAAGGGTTAAAAAGATTCAACCACCAGGCTTATATGGAGTAAACTTGCAACTTTACATATTCCTCACACTCAAGAAAAATGTCTTGGCAATGTGAGTAACAAAAGTATTTCTACGTGTTGTTTTCTCAGCTGCGCAGTTGAAACAGTGAAAGGCATAAATCTCAAACTGCAGTGTCCTTAGGTTACCCCAGTGTTTTAGCAGAAAAAAAGAATTTCCCTGATGTTATAAAGGATCTAAACCAAACTTTACATTTCACAGTAATGAACATGAATATAATTTGAAGAGCTGATATAGAAGTTTTACTGTTAGGGTTCACATATACGCAATAATATTTCTACTACACAAACTATTTCATTTAGTTGGGCAATAAACTGGTTTTCAGAACTGAAATCCAGATATATTTCAAGTCTTTCAGTCATAGCTAATATTGATGTGATTAGGAACATTTAATCAAGAGAATCTATTATCAGGGAATAACTGGATTTCACTTCCAGTTGCTACCTGTATACTTGCAAGGAAAGAGTGAAAATAGAGAGTAGTTCCTTTAACCATTGACCTGAATGGAGAGAGAGATGTGAAATTTAATGAATATGTGAACTTTAATGAATTTGCTTCATCAGAATTTTCTAAACAAATTGCTAAACAATTATCTGCATCTGACAGCCTTATACAAACCACACTGAAATTACCCAGGTGCCCAGTCATTTCTGTCTTCTGACTGTGGAGAAAATCCCAGAGACAGGAGTCAAACCTTTCCATTAACCCAGAGAACAGGTCCAAGGTCCTACTGTCACCCCCACAGCCGCAGGTTCAGGATGCTGACTGTACCCCGCTGCTCACAGGCTGCATCCACTTCCCCAGACCCTACATCTCTGGTGATGAAACCATACTTCAGTTGTTTGACTCTCCCAGCATCCTATTCACAGCAGTCTGATAAAGAACTGTCACTCCCTTACACAAGAGTTTCCAGTGTCACCATCAGTGGCCCTCCTGCCAGATGGTCTTAAATGTCTCGTTATCCAAAATCTCGTTTTGGATAACGAGACATTGACAACATTTGTAATCTCAACTGTTAACAAAGTTGTGGGAAATTCAACCTTTTCATGTACTACCTCTTCTGCAGTACAGATGAATACAGAATGTACAAAAGCCCCAACCATATTTTTGCTAAAATATTTGCAATTACTGTCTGTGAAGTAGTGTCCAAAAGTTAAATAAGCTCTTACAGAAAAAAGACCAAAGATGTAATCTGGAAACATTCACTCATTCTGTGAAAGAACACACAAAAACATTTTTCAGGATACAAACTTTGTTATAAAGACAAAGTGATTAGGAAATTCTTATTTTTCAATTTAAGACCACTGAATTCATGAGAAATCATTTAATGGCATCAGATTATTCAGGTGTGACAGGTTTGATTCAGAGTTATACAACTTTTGGCAAAAAAACCTAGAAATTAGGGCAACAGTTCTCTTGCAAATCAAAACTGTGCTCCTTTTCTTTGCCAATAGATTGGTTAACAACAGATGTGTAAAATTTGAGGCATGAAGTAGGAGGCAGTAAATCAACAGAAAAGGATGCCAATCACATATTTCTGTTGTGTTGTTACAGACTTTCATGCATTACCTAGAAATTATAAAATCCAGTGTACAATTATAATGAGCAAAAAAAATCCCTGTATATATTTTTATGAAAACTAACAAATTTAAATACTTTATATCAGATTATTTATTTTCAAAATAATGCATCTGATGCGCTCCTAAAGCATATAGACTCTTAACAAAACAGAACAGCATTTGTTTGGTGAAGTACTGAAATGCTACACCAGAAACATTTTTAGGCAGAGCTGAAGGAGTCAAGATCTAAAAGATACAGGATAAATACAGGAACTGAAAATATATAGCACAATAGGTGTATTTAAAGGTAGTAACAGTGTTATCTGCAGCAGTGCTGTTTCAAAAGGTTAACATTTTTTATGATCAATAAACCACATACAACCAAGATCTCGTCTTGAATGCTTTTTAAGCTTTATTTTAGATTTGATCCGATATGATTTTTTTTTCATTGAGATTCATATCAGGACTTCCTTTTGTGCTTTGCTGAACTGATCCAATACATCTAACTGTGAGAGGTATCACAAAGCAGTGATTTTTCTTCCTCTCTCCATGCAATGCCACTTGGAACTGCAGAACTTCATATTCTGCAGTTCAGCATTCTTGATGGTTATTTAATTCAAAGAGTAACATGGATCTGATCCTAATGCCTGATCATTTTTGCAGTCAGATGAAACAATCTAGAAAATATCATATAAATGAATAAATTAATTATTGAAGCAATTCATATTCTTACATGAATGCACATAGCTGAGCCTGTCACCTGTACTCCATTTTTGAAGGAGCGTTAAACCTGCACTATGGACACCTGAACTGGGGCTCCCAGCTTGCTTCAAGGTGCACAAGCAGATCTGAGCAACTGGCTTTCTTTTTTCTTTTCTTTTAAACAGTTCTACATATTAACCTGAAATATTACTTTTTCAGGATTGTCTACCATGTCTTGTTGCTACTTAAAACATCTAAATGATAATTTTTCAGGATTCATATTTTGTGAAGAGAAAAAATTTATTCAATCTGAACTGAAAACAACAGTAAACCTACCAGAATTTCCCATAGGTATCAGTTCCTTTCAAAAAAAGAGATTTCAAAGTGCTAGGATATATAAAGTTAATAAAACCTTTGAGATTCTTATTCACCAAAAAATTATTTTGTTCCATGAGTAAACAGACCTCCAATGCACACATCCATACAGGAAACTCTATTTTATATTACAATTTTATTCACTTGCTATGAATAGTCACAACATTAATCTACTGCAGAGAATCTATTCAGTATATTTGAAAATCCATTTATTTTCATTTATTGGTATGCATGTGTTACACTTGTATATAATACAGTATTTTCAGCGCTGTTTAAGAACAAGGAAACAAAGAAAACAAGTATTGAGAAGCATGATGTAGATTTTCGACCAAACAGAGGTCATATTTAGATTTTACAAAACAGCACATTTACACTTCGCACTGTCCCAGACAACTTCTTTAAGATGTTCCTTCCATCCTGAACCTCTTAGCACAAATCCATATAATACTAATCCATCCTAAAATACCAAGAGAGTTAGTTTCTACTACAACCGGTTTATTCTAATTAAATTTTAATCAGAAAATAAGATCTTTTTCTGACAACATATTTCTTATTATTTCCGAGCAAAATGATAGAATATACTTCTCAGTTTTATTCCCAACAGTCATTTATTTTATTTAAGCTCTCCTGTGCAATAATACAGCAGAGGTAATGAAATGGTTTTGGAACAGCAGGGGCTACAGCGACAGGCAGAGCTCACCAGGGTGTTCATCCATCACAGAACTTAATATATAACTAAACTAGCCATGTCAATGGCTTGTAATGATTAAACCATTTCTTTCTATTCCTTTTTTTCTTTTTCTTTTTTTTAAATTTTTTTTTCTATTTTTGGGGGGTTTTTCTGTGTTTGATAACCACAGACTTAAACAAGCTTACTTCTATGTATTTTTGACAACCATTAGGTGTGTGTGGCTTTCATTTCAATTCACCGAAGCATACAGTCAGAACTCCCTCTATTCAGTGTGTTTATGCAGTGTCACTAAAAGGAATTGCCAAAATTCTTTTGTATCAACATTACAGATGGTCCAATATACATTAAATGGAGTATAAAATTATACATTCTGTAATAACTTAGAAAAAAGCTCAAAGATGCTTAAGGCCTTCAAATATTGAGGATTTTTTTTTTTTATGTAATAACACATTTCAAAGTTCAATAATTTCTAACAAAACAGATCTGAATTGGATGACTGTATGCAAGCAAAATACCCATGAAGTGTAAACTGGGAGAGCACTAGACTTTTTTCCTTTATGGCAAACAGACTGAGCAGACATCTACATAAGCATCCATCAGTATTTAGGTTCAAGCAAGAGATTTTATTTTTTAATAAAAAGACAAAAATTCTGAATGATTACCATCCAATATCATAATTGCAAAACTCATTTACATCCCTGCCTATCTTTGTAAAAAAGGGATGAAATAGTGTAATTGACTTCTTACCATCAATTTAAATGAATTAAAGGTTAGGAAAGTAAAGTACATATTGGGAACACCCATTTCCTTCAAACTAAATCGAAATGCATATATTAAATATATAAAATGCCTTAAGATGGAAGTGGTAATTGAGTTTTGACCACTACTTTCTTTAACTGTTAAGCTGCAGTAGTTGGTTAGCCTTAGGGAAACATGTCAACCTGACTATACATTCTAATATGACTGATGTATTCAGATAACTATTACTTGTCAACAATAATTATTAACAATGGATATATAATTCCATTCCTATAACAAAGCAACTTCAAGATGTTGAAATATGTACCTTTGAGAGCTGCAAGATTAGAACACAAATAAGAATGTCTAAAACTGCGCCATGCTTGAGGACAATTTCTGCAACAGAAATTTAATTAAAGCCGTGTGCAGTCCCACCAGCAATCTGAACAGTGGACCAAGGATCATTTCAGAGTGAAGGATCCAATACATTTCAGAGTTTGACTTCAAGATGAAAAGCCGCTGTTCTGCAATGGGGAACCCAAAAGTTTGCTGCTTTTCTGCACCTTTAGAATATTAGCTCATGATTACAGCTGCAAATTCCTCAGCAAGTGTAATTCTACAAGTGTACACAGTTCAATCAGTTGAAATATTTGTGACACAGAAGTTCAAAATAACTTTCCAGTAGTTTTGATCTCAAGGCTGTTGCTGATTGCAAGCCAGGTTCTCATTGAAACAATTGATTCTGAAGGATACACCCCAGCAGTATAAAATTTCACTTCAAGGATTGCCTGGATGAATGAAATTTCTATGTGTTGCATTTAATGTTATCAGCCTTGAGACTGGCTTGATTTGTCTTTAGCTATCGGGTTACCTGTAAAGAAAAAGAAAATGAGAAAATCAGAAATTGGGCATAGGGAATCTGTTTCTGAAGTACTGGAAAATGAGACTGCAGTGTGAGATCTCTGTCCAGCAAACATCTTTCTATTGTTTTTAAAAAGGGCATAAATCCCCATGATATTAAATGGCATTGCTCCCCAACTTAAATGGTGTTTTTAAGTGTTTAGTGAGAATAGGATTTGACAAGGAAAAATTGAACCATGCTTTAAAATATAATAAAATCATGAATTGCCAACCCACATGATGGCATTTATGTTTTCTGTTATTCTTTTTTTGTTGTTGTTAAAAATTATGTATGTAACTATGCTTTTTAAATGTTAGCTATTGAGTATACCATGACTGATACTGGAGCTGTATTCTTCCATTCTTTGCATGCATTTTTACAAAGCAATCATAGCATCATAAAATCATTTAAGTTGGAAAAGGCAATGTCTTTTTAAAGGCTTAATGTATCTTAGCAAGCAATAATCACCTAGTGGAGAAACAGGAAGAAATCATGCAGAAACTAAGTAGAGATAGAGATCCTGTTATTCACAAAGTAAAAAATAACAGAGGATTTAATTTAGAGTGGTTTCACCCAGCCTAACATGAACAAGAAGGAAACAGAAGGACCACAAAGAAAGAGTGGGGGACAAAGTATTTCACAATAATTGGACTTTCCCTCTAACTGACTTGGATTTTAAACTTTAAAAGAAAAAAATTGTCATATCAAAGAAACATAACTTTGAGGAATATTTCTGCTGTGTCAGTAGATACAATTAATCATCACGTAATCTTTTAATATCAAACTGTGTCAGGGGGAAATATTCCAAGGCTTGAAGAACAACTCATTGGAATGGTCACAACACTTTATGACATCAAGGGACATATGCTTTTCATTTTGATCACAGAGAGAAGGGTCATGCTCCTTAATGATGAAACATTCTTTTGCCCTCAGCAAAACTGTTTGCATACAGCTCTTGTCAGCTCTGCAGAGCATAACTCGACAACAAACAGAATATTAAACAGACTGTTCAAGGAGTTCATTACTTCAGTTTGCCTTTTCCGCAGAGTTGTTTCTAGGAACTGCACTTGAGGCAATAATAAAATTGTGCTTCGTGATTTTTATGATACCCAGGCTTATTTATTACACTGCTTTTATTTTGCTTTGGTCTTGCTGTTGGAAACAGCCTCATGTGGTCCCTTCTAAAGTGGAAGATTGCCTGAAAAAATAATAAAGAATTAATTTAACAGTCAGGCAACATATTTCTGCGCCCTGCACCAAAGCTCAAAAGGCTGATGTACCATCTTATTGTATTTATTTTTTTGCTTTATTGTAGCAAGCTGGAATTCTGCTCATAGAACCAGGTGCCACTGAGCTACACAATGTAAAATACACATCTTCTGGTATTATCCGCGGGTGGAATTTACTGGCTTCATTTGTGATACATTTCTCTATATCTATATTTATTTCTACCTATCTGTCTATCCAGTAAAGAGCCACTAAGGCAAATAAGACACAGGAGCATCTCATATGAGGAAAGATTGAGAGCGCTGGAACTGTTCAACTTGAAAAAGAGAAGGCTCGGGGGAAACACATCAATGTGTACAGATATATGAAGAAAGGGGGGCAAGAAAAGTGAGCCAGAAAGTGGTGCCCAGCAGCAGGACAAGAAACTGAGAGCAAGCCAACACAGACAGTTTCCTCTCAGATAAAAGTTTTTTACTGTGAGGGTGGCAGAGTACTAGCACATTTTGCCCAGGGAGACTGTGGGCTTCATTACTGAAGATATTTAAAAGCTGTCTTGCCCTTACAGGCTTTAGATGCCTCTACTTGAGCCAGGGGGTGGCACTTTCAGAGTTGCATTCCAGTCTCAACTATCGTGTGACGTATTATTTCTGTTACACACAAATCTATGCATGGGCTAAAGTGATAAACTTCAGATAACGAAAATGGTATTTTTGCACACACATGAATGCTCAGTTACATGGCTGTTTTGAAGTGCAAATATGCTTTCAATCACAGAAAAGTCAGTAAAATCATAATCTGCAGGCCTATCTACCCCTCCCACCTAGCACTACAACCCTGGGGTGAAAATATCCCCATGGAAGTAACATACACTGTCATATAAATTAGATAGGTGATAAAAATAAGAAAAAAAAGAGCAGATAGCCATTCAGATATCTGCTCTATATCAGGTTACTCACCTACATGCACACACACACTCACACACACACACACACATATATATATATATTAGTGGTCCACATTTGCCTCTATGTATGATTTTAATACTTCTTGTGTTTTCAAGCATAGATTGCACATCAACATTAATGGAAGTTATATATCCATACACGATACACATCAGGGAGTGAATAAACCTCTTGGATATTAAAGACAGTTTCATAAAGAAGCAATGAAATTTTAGCTAATACCTAGAGGTGGTAATTCCAGAAATGCTTAATTTTGGATATAGTAAATGCTATTTGATTCAAGTGTCTGGGAAGTAAGGTATTAAGGTATTGTGCCAAAGACCTTCCTAGGAAAAGAGGGACCAATAACAATACATGTCTGATCTTTAAAATCCGTAGAGTAACACCGTGAAGCGTGCAAATCAAGTTTTCAGTTAATAATTAATATGCATGGAAAATTAACAATACAAATTTTAAAAGTACATGAAACCTTAGCATCCTATGTGTTGATTTGAATTAATTTGTTCCTTCTTGGAATGCAATTACTCTCTTTATAATAATAAATTTTCTCACATTGTGGTTATATCATAAATGCAACACATTAGATTCTTTTCATTTTCTTGTCCTAAATATGCAATTAAAGCATAATTACTCTGCAGTTGCAGACTTTTTAATTTAAATTAGTGAGTGGCTGCTGTAAATTGGCTGTAATTGTATGTGGACTCACTTGTTTTATTTTAACACAACATATAATTAAATTCACCTGAAGATTTCCACATTATTCTGCTTACTAAATGTTCAGAACAAACTGAGTCTTTGGGTAAAATCTTTTTGCCAGGATAATGCAGAATGGATCAGAGATTGAAAGATCTCATGACATCACATTAGAAAAGCTACCAGCCTCGAGATATTACTGAACAGCGACAATGGGTGAAAAATATCCTCATTTTTGAAATCCACACAGTGGATGAATACAGCAGATAATAGTGTTTATTTTGTTAGAATAGATTTTCAATAAAAACTGTGATACTTTTACTCAGGACTTTCTTCTGCCTCAGAAGAGAAAGGAAGAAACATCAAGACTGTAGGATGTAAAGAATGGTGAGAGAATATTCCCTGAATAGTAAAGCACTTCTCCCTAAAGTCAAGCACCTAAGCATCAAAGTTACAGAACCCCAATTAGGTATAGTAAAATTCTTCTGTTTCTTCACAGAAACAAATATATCACAAATCATTAGCTAGCTACAAAATAGCTTCTGCATCCAAAATTAGGCACATAATTAATTATTATATAATAATGTTGGAATAAAACAGATAACAATAGATGGTATATTGAAATTAAGTGTGTGCTGGAAAATTTCATAACACAACTTGTACAGTACTATTTTTTTACTGGCAGCTTTTTGAATTTTTTTCTGTGTTTATCATAAGCCATACACAGAATCCATATTGAAAACTAACTAAAGTTTGCAAAGTCAAGCACTTGAAATGTAGCAACTTGCCTTTTTATATCTCCCTTGCAATTTAATTCTCTCTCTTTTCCATCATGCACAGTAAAGAAGTTAATTTAGTGTGCAAGGAGAGTTGGAGGGAAGGCAGGGCTATGTATCAATGCAAATGCAGAAAAGGTAAAATATTTAGGCCAATGTTTCTTGCCTTGACAGATGATTCCACATGGAATGGATGGACCCTCTGTTCTGGGTTTTCTCCAAAGAAGCAGAAAGTACTTAACAGAGGATTTTTTTTTTTTAATTAGAACTGTTCCATCAACTATATAAGATTGTGTGTGATCATAGGTCATGTCATCTAAGCATACTCAGGCTTTTTCTTTTTTCTCTTGAGATACATAAGACACAGAAAGGAATTTTTTTTTTTTTTTTCTTTTTGTGAAAGCAATTAATAGCTCACCCTGAGTTAAGCAGTAAGCAGAATTTCATGAGACGAAGTTGACTTGGCACCCCTTCCATTTTTTTCTAAACTATTAAAAGCCTCTGGGAAACAAAAATGGTATGGGGATTTCAAGCAAAAATAAAAGGGGTCTCACAAATTTATTTAATAACCAACATGAGGTATGCTAAATACAGGAAATGAGAAAAGCCGTTAGTAATGGCTTCAAGAAATGCCTACAATGGATTGTCCTCCAAGTGCTGGAGAAAAGACAGAGATCCCATACCAAAACAGCCCTTGTTTGTATGCATTATATTCCTGTCCATTTTGTGTCATTATTGTGGTGTCCTTTCTTAAACTGTATGCAAAACACCACAAAAATTTAATAAAATTATGAACAAAGTAATTCTTTAGCAAACCATTTCTAAAAAGGAATGAACTCAGGAGGGCTATATCAGTCTTGTTCTTTTCTAAAACATAAATAATTTTGTTGTGGCAGCAAGAACTTAATATAAATACTCCAGAGTAGAAACAGGGCCCATATAACCAGAAACAAACATCTGCCAGTGCATTTTCTCTACTCATGCCCTCTGAGAATGAGGTTGAGGTTGGAAATGGATCCTTTGAACAGATGGAAGCACACTATTTCCTGGAACTTTAAAATCCAATGCAGTGTGTTTGCCATGCACTATCATTCATACATTGCTTGTGAAAGCAAATGACAGCTTGCATTGCCACTTGTGCTTGTTCATTCACTGAAACAGTTGAAATTGTAATCTTGGAAAATGCTTCTGTTCTAGTACTACTATCTTGTATCAGTGATAATCCTAAGTACTTTGCAAATGTTAACAAAGGACAGGTTCACAATTTCCTCACAGATGGATAATCATGTCATTTATGTTCCAGTGAATTGGGGAAGGTGGACAAAAAGATGTTAAGGACCTTTCTGGAATAAGGCACATAAACGTATAGACCCCTTACAGCAGGTAGATGTGGATTTGGGTCTTTATTGCTAGATAACTGGGTTTCTGGAGGGAGGAGGAACCATTTCAAATGCCTGAGAAATGAAGGTGACTCAAACACATTTCAAGGGAACTGCAAAAGAAAACCATTAATGAGGACACAGGCCCTTATTTTCGTATTACAGACAGCCCTTTGACTGGGCTAATGACAAAAGGCAAAATTTGAGTTACTTTTTGAGCAGTCTGGAAAACAAATATTTAATAACTACACAGATTCACTTACCTTCAGAGGAGGTTATGTATTGGAAGACACTTTTTCAAGTCATCAAATATTTCATTCCTGTATATAAAATTTTGATCCTACCTAATGTTTTATTTAAGGACTCAGCTTCAAATTTTTCCTTTAGTTTTATTTTAGGCACTGCAGTATGAAAAGTATTAATCTAAACATGTTCCCAAGCCTGTTAAGCGATTTAGAATTCCAGATCCTCACGCTTGTCCTTCAGGAGCTATGAGTAGCTCATTTTATTAATTAAAAAGTGCATTTCCCAGGACATGACTCAAAAGGCTCCCAGTTCTTTGATAACCATGAGACTCTAAAACCTTATAATTCTTTCATATTTTTATTGCATAGTGACTAATCCAAACTGCACTTTTGATAGTTCTTGTGCTTAGGACTTCCATTGTAGAGAGACAAACATTCTGAAAACTCATTTCATGCAATGCCATTTGAAATATAGCTGTACTCCTTTATTTCCCACTGCTCTTAAGGATTTCAGCTGGAAATTTTTGATTGTAAAGTGAAGATCTAAACAGCCAGTGTTAAAATTTTTTAAAAGTCTTTAGAAACCTTTCCCATGTCAAGTGATCTTTCCACTTACTTCTAATAGTCTGAAAGGTAGGACTAGTAAAATAGGTAATGGAAAAATACCTCAGAGCATGGCCTATGTTCCTGTAAATGATAAAGGTCTTCAGCCTTAACACAGTTTTAAGATAGGTAAACAGCTTCTAGCCTGTCTTAGGAATGAAATGGAAATACCCAATTCTTGGGGTTTTTTATGAAATTTAAGTAATTCAGCATGTAATACTGAGCTTTCCACTACAGATGCCACACCAGACTGGATGTACTAAGATGATTTCTCTTCCAAGTGCTGTTCTCCAGAGCATCTGCTGTTACCCATGAGTGTAACCTAAGCTTACCAACTGGGTCTAACTCTGAAAGTCAAGAGTGTGAAGATATTTTAGGGCTCCCAGAAGCATCTAAGTAATGTTCTGAGGCTGCTTATTAGCAGTCAGATTCTCTCCAACCACCCTCCAGAAACTCTGCCCAAATGAGCCACAAGTCTTCAATGTCCACAGCAAACTAAGCAACTGCAATAAGGAGTAAGGTACAACAATTCCTTTTAATACTGTGTAAACCTGTATTTGTACACACCTGCTGCTCTGTGAGCAATAAACCGGGGCTGGAACACATTTTCTGGAGTGGTTTGACTCTTTATTCCTCAACGAACGTTCTGGCCCTTCCTTAGAATCCGACCAAGACTAGGATTCATCACAACTAGTGCTCCATCGTGGAGCCAGAATATTTTTTGTGTGTGGAAAAAACAAAAATTGTCATCAGGCACAGCAGAAACCTCCTTTCTCTACTTCTCCATTCGGACTTGAGGAGTTTTACACGTTTGCCTAAGAAACAAACACATGTCAAGTACTACACTGTTATGAAATTAGTTACAGAAAACAAAACTGGGATAGTTGGAATATTTTTTTAACTTACAAGGATAAATAAAAAATGACAGGTTAAAATATTTCAGAATCAGAGAAAATTCTCTTAGGAAAAGTGCATGGTCTTTAAAATACCCAAACATACTCAAATTCAAACCAAAAAGCAATAGAAACTGATAGATCATTTCTGAAAGTAATCAGGAAAATTTAAGTATGACAAAACAGTATTTGAAAAGTTCTTTGAGAATAAGTTCATACATAGACCTGTGGTACAGAAAGGAGTCATGAAGTCAGACGACAATTCCTTCTAAATGAAAGATTTGAGTGTGTTCTCCTCATATATGTTTAAAGCAAAAAAAAAAAAAAAAATAGAAGGTTACAGGAAACACTATAAAATAACAGAGGACACATTTCAAAAGACAATATTCAATTCAGACAGATAGTTCTTTATCTAGATATTTGAGATAGATTTTGAACCTGCCAATAATAATCGCTTCTGATGTGATACACAGCATCTTATCAGATCACCAAAATTTCTTGAAGTTTTCTTCTTTTATTTTCTTAAATATCGTGCTGCAGATCATTGAAAATATACAAGATTAAACTCAAAATTTCAAAAATTTCTTGCTTAAATAAAATCTCTACATATTTGAATACTGTGAAATCAATTAATATGGTCCTGTGTTCATACTTCCTTGAACTGGATAGTTTACAAAATAAAATTAATTGGTACATCTCACTGGGATAATTATGATAGTGAATCATTGATGAAGATATATGAGTTACATCAAGGCTAAATCCAGCTCATTAGTCCTTCCTATATACTCATCATTACTATCTTCCAAAAGGTTATGCCACTGTTTTGAACATACCCTAATTTTCTCAATGTTTCTGTAACTCGGTAGAGAACAGAGTTTATGGTAGAATTATTTTAATGTAAAACAGTGTTTCATTTACACACAACAATTTTAAATTAAAAGAAGACTTAAACAAAAACCTTATTTTACTTTCTGTAACAGATAATAACTGCAGCAATTCAGACAAGGATATATCCTCTTGAGGTTTTTATGGTGCTCACAACTCCATAGTGGGACTGCAGCATGGCGGCATAAAAGACTGCAAGACAATTAATTACAAAAAAGTAATTTTTTTCTCTTCTACACCACTTATCCTGCTTAATCATCCCAACTGGGAGATAAAAATAACCTCTTTCCTTTCAATCTATGAGGAAACTGAAGCATAAGAAAGAGTCGTGTTACCCTGTGAGGAAGTGTTAATGGAGAGATGGGGACAGAGTCCTTCTGTCTTTGGCTTTATCTGACATCATGTACCTATGGAGAAGACTACATTTGTTTTTTATTGGAAAGGAAAACCTATAACAAGCATTTTCCTGTGTTTACATTCTAAATACAAAAAAGCCAAACATTTAAAAAACTCAAATCCAGTCTTGTTTCAAAACTAGACTGAGGTTCTAAACTGTCTAATAGGCATAAAGAATTTTCGTCTTTTAATATATTTTTCTAGAAAGGAGGTCAGAACTTCCAATTATCCTCACTAAAAAATCAGGTTGTCCAAATTAATCAAATTTGAGATCTTTTTCTTCTTCAAATTTTATGCTCTAGGGTTTTTCCTGGTATTTTGAATGGAGAGTAACAAGCCATTTGGACAAGTTCAAAATAGAAATGTAAATTATTTCCTTACCTGTAATTTTATCTTCTCTATAAGAGTACCTGCTGTTCTGTTAGTGCAGTACTGATGTGTTTTCTGCCTTTGTCCCAAGCTTCAGAGATTTCTCTGGTGATTTTTTCCCCACTTGCTTACCAGCTTCCACTGCTGGCATTTTGAGGAAGTGCATTCACATTTGTCTCCAGGAATACTGCCATAGCTGAGGGAATATAAGATAACTAAAACACAAGTTAGAAAACAACAGAACCAATATCCAGGAGGGAAAAATGATTTAAAAACAATGAATCAGTCATCAACTTGAATCCCTTTGATCATTTTCCTTTCTCTTTTCATCCATTTAGAATTTCCACATGAAGAAAAGACTTTTCTGTGCTTGGAGAAATTTTGGCTTAAAAAAAATAGGTACTGACAGAGTAGTGGGTACCATTTCAGAGAATATAAAATTAATTTCAGGAATCCTAATTTTAACCTTCTCCTGTATGGGTACCCATCATGCCATTAGTCCAATACAGATAAGAAAGACAAGAAAAAGAAGAAAGGTGGCAGATCTGGAGGGTTTCAGAAAAATCTTTGATATCTTTTCTCAAGTCCTAGTAGAACTGTGAAAAAGGAAGACATGGGTTTTCACCCAGAGGCTGAACAATAAGAACGATTTCTCATTGCCCAGGAAAACAACACATAAAGCCTCTTTCACTAAGACATAGTCAGGATTGTGGTTTCTGATTCCCAATAGTTGTAGTCATCTTGGTCAAAGATGAACAGAACAAGTGCTGTCAGTTTAATAAGTAAATGTTTTCTTGCTTGAGCATTATGGAGACATACAGGTGAAAGTTACAACACCTTATAACTTCTCTGTACTCAGGATCATCTGGATATTATTTTTGAACTTCACAGTGAACAGAAAATAAGTATTCTGTCAAAGCTAAAAATGAATTCAATTTAAAGTGTCTTGCTTATAGAACATGTCCAGTTGTCTTCATATATGCATTTTGTCATTATCTTATCTAAATAGATTGTGACCTAAGACAAAGTATGAATGAATCAAAGTAGCTAATTGCAATTAGACTCTATAATTATAAAATCTCATGTAATGAAGGAAAGACCAAAAGTCTCAGAAGAGGTTGTTGCCTTCAAATTTCAGTAATGTAAGTACCAATAATGTACTTTAAGGTTGCAAGAAAGAAAAAGGATTCTGGCAATTTCCCCATTGACCTTCAAAAAAGTGATTGGCTTTCCAAGAAATAGGCTTCAAATTTGTTAAGTTGAATTCTAGAATAGTCTCCTGTTCCCTTTTTCTTCTTCATGAATGAGGAATAAAAATTATTAGCAAGTGGAATTGGAGTGATGCCTTGAAGATGAGAAATTTACATTTTCCAGGGTGACTCTGAAAAGGTGACAAGGAATCAGGACAGAGAGATGTCAAATTTCTAGAACAACTAATCTGATTATGGAGTGCATTTTCCTGAATTAGAAACAGCATGAGCAGAGATACAGTCCTTTGGTCTTCCTTTGGCAGGAACATTGTTCTAAGCCACAAAGTTTGAACTCAGGATGAAGAAACAAGTTCTTCTGAATGGCATCAGTAATTTATCTTACAACATTCTTCAATCTGAAGAGACAAAACTGCAGCTCTATTAAAATTCTCAGATCTATTACTACTGAATTTGTAGATGCACGTTGATTTGACACAATGCTTTGTTTCCTTGAGAACCCATTCTTCTTCATAAAGTGGAGACAAACTTTGGTTGGTCTTGCCAACATAATTTTACAGGTTTCATCATGCAAATAAGCCCTGGTGGATGGGATATTTTGTAGATTCACCCAGAATCTGCACTTCAGAGTTCTATGGCACTTATCATTGCAGATATGGAAGGTGATGGATGCTAATCAGGACTGTAAGATCTAAGAAGGGATCATCTGTATATTTTAATAATGCAGCAGAAGAAAGCTCAGTGTCCATTTTATAGAACATGAAAAGTGGTTTGGAGTATTACCTCTATACTACAGCAGTAATGTCTTTCCTAAAATTGACTTGGTGTTCACCAGGGTGGTAGAAGAGTAAACTAAAAGTCATAAAAAAATGTGTGATTTTGAAATTCTCATGGAAATTAACTCTATATTTGTTGCTTTCTTTATTAATTTAGCGATAGGCAGCAATCTTCCATGCCTGAGTTTTTTCTTTGTTTAGAAGAGTTTTCACAAAGGATAAGACTATCTTCATTATTCTTAGGGAGAAATATTTAAGATTTGCAACCATGCTCACTTTGCTGTGCAATGGAATAATGTCTGAGTAATCTGATTTCATTTGGTTTGAGAGCTGTTCACTCCTCTAACTCTGTGACTCTGTAGGCTCAGAATGGTCTGTATGTCTGATTCTCCCCTTCATAGTGATTATTATTCAATTCCTTCCCTATAAGAAGGCAGAAAAGCAGAGCTGCGCCAAGGGGATGTTTCTGATGTTTTCTATAATTAGTCCTAATGAGTAAAGAAACACCTCAAGAAAACTATGTTGTTTTGAAGAAATGAAAGCATTACCTTTTGAACAATGGAGGGCCAGCCTCATACATTTCTGCAACTTAGAAGTGATGTAGAGTTTGTGAAGCCTGAGCCAAATACCCAGGGAAAGAGGAAAAAATTCTGTCTGAAGCTATTTAGGCAACAGATCATGTGAGGTTTCAGAATATCCTGGTGTCTCTGACCACAAATATATCATTTCTGACTTTCAGAAATGATCCAAAGAAGCCCCTACAGGCTAAAAAGGAGGGCGAGACAAGAAAGAAGCACTAGTCTTAAAGCATGCCAGCATGACTCACATGATACTGGCATTAAAATATCATCTCGTACAGTAATTTCTGAGATATTAGAACCTGACAAAAATTTACCAAGAAAATTTAAAAGGACTACTAGATATTCAAAGAGCCCTTTTTGCACAGCTGTGACTGGCAAAGAGACTGGCAGAATGAAGCTGCAAATGGAAGTGGAAACATCTTTGATTTTAGCGTCAGGACATTGGAAAAGTGGAAATTCATGGGGTGAATGAATTGAAGAAAAGCAGTCATTAACAAACGGCCTTGTGTACTTGCTCTTATTTTCCATCACAGAGGCAGAAAATTTTTTTTCAGACATGAGGTCAATATCTCAAACATGCCAGCAAAGGACAAAGGAGAAGAATAAAAAAGTAAATCACAAGTTGAATCTTCTGGGACAAAGGCAGAAAACATCTTGGCTGGACAGATTAATTGGAGAATTTGCACATGGAAAGAAGTAATGGTTGC